CACACAGACTGTGAGTACTTTTTTCTTCCACTCCTAATGAATCGCATTAGTTGAGCTTGGGGATCATTGGAACTGTGCTGAGACGTTCTGCTTTAGCCACCTTTCGCCTTTTGTCCATCATAAACTTTCTGTAGGTTTGATGATATTTTCTTAGCCACCGTGAAACCGCACCTTTTCTCTGGGACTCTTGTTTCAGTTCTTCAGAACCCGGATCCCAGTCCGTCGATCGTGGGTTCTTTTTGTCGCCCATTGTGGACATGGTTTCCGAAGACTTGAGTTTGCCTGACCTACCTAATGACACTCAAGCCGATGTACAGGCCGAGGAAGCGGAGTTGGGAACAGTTGAGAACCACAAAAGCATCGTCATGCACCTGCTTTCGCAGCTTAAAAATGGGATGGATCTGACAAAGGTTGTTACGATCCAAATTCTCAACGTTTTCCGCAGCGCTACTTCATTGCATCTGCCATTCACAATCAGCTGTTTGCTTAATTGCGTACTAATCCACAATTGCTCCTTAGGCTCTCTTCTAACCCTTAAAACCCTACGGTTCACTGTAACATAACAGAGGTTTTTTATATACCAAATTGCATTCCTTGTATGCACTAAAGATTGCAGGTTACCCATAAGTAAACTTATTGAAACACCACCGCCGAACTAGTTGTTCCCTGGGGTAAATGATATTCTTATTCAGACCCAAAAGGATATGGTTTGACAGTGGAACTCCCATACCCAAGAACGGGATTTCTGCGAGCATTACAGCAGTTGTTGTCCCAATGGCCGTTCACAGACCGTAGTACCCAAATGGCAGCGACTCTCTTAAGTCGCATTCTAGGACAAACTGGCTGGAATTATGACCATTGTTTTCTAGTGCCCTTCACCTTTCGAACTGCTAGATCCCTATCGCTTTCACCAATATCCTTCAAGTCCAGCTTACCGAGATATGTAGCGCCGCCAATGAGGCAATGGATTCCTGATGGCGAACTAAGTTCAGGTATGTGTCCTTTATTTCTCTACCGGAGCAGGTCTTGTCTACTGCACACTTGCCTTCTTCCCTTGCTGGCGCTTCCCATGAGACGATGAAGCAGCAGCGTTTCATAGATGCAATGGATTGCGTTACCATTAATGTTTACTCGCCTCTATTCTTGTTACAGCCCTCATTTCTCGTATTACTTTGAATAGCATTACTACAGCTGACCCGTAGCTGGCCTTCTCTTCATGCTTGCTGTATGAAATTAGTCAACCCAGGAAAAACTGGCTAATGAGCACTTTAGCATGGCATTCTGATGACACTGAAGTGTCATTGACTTCACATTCATCTAATCCTTACTGTAGTGGTAGTCTCCATTTGCCTTTCGCTTGTCATACGTAAGTTGAAGATTCGCGCCCCAGTAAGAAGCTAACCAAACCGACCCTTGCGATGTTCCACACTACAGTTTCGTGTTGCTTGTGAGCACTCACCCGACACACTGATTTTGCATTCTGCCTTTTTGATACTCACTCATCCCGCAAACTCTGCCCACCTCCTGAATGTCGTCAGACTGCTAAATATGCACATCCGTCACAAATGTCTTCTCTAGCTCCTTCGCGCTTGGTTGGTGTTTGCTCATCGAGAAGCCCCATGACAGTGTCGGTATTTAAACAGACATTTTGCCGCTCCAATGTGACGCGACGTCACAAGCAGCAGTTGTAGAGTTCATCTTCACGGCCTGAATCTCGTTGTACCGTTTCAACGAGACGGGACCTTAGCATGATGCTATGGTTTCTACTCAGTCTCTTGAGTCTGCGGGTCTCTTGAGAGCTGCTCCTACTAGGGTGTCCGATGGTTAAAGGTCAGACGAACTCAATTTCCTGGCCTTCCAATTTGGGTGTTGGAAATCGGGTCCTATCTGTGATGGCAGTATGTGATCTGAGTGACGAAACGGATTTACGTGGCAAAGCACGCAGCTAGGTTGCAGCAAACGAATGGAGTAGATGGTTGGACATCTACGCTGATTGGTTAATATCTGGCTGCGCTGTGGTGGTTTTATTTGACTGAATCAAAGGGAGAATCCCATGATTGCACAAACGTCGTTCATTATGAAAGCCGCTTTCTACAGGCTAGATGTCCTATTATTTTTACTGCGCTTGTTTTGTTGCATAAGCTGTTTACCCATAAAGGAGGAAGTTCTGTGACGTTGTGCCATGGAACACCAAGATAAGATTACCGAAAGATGCCCAGTTGCTGATTGGAACGTGACCAGCCGTGCAGACACCTGTCCCATTGAACATGGAGGAACACAACTTGGCCAGTAATTGGAGGTTTCGGAAAAGCAAGGGCATCGATTCCTGAGTACTGGTGCGTTTAAACGAACAACCGGTGTCCTATATCCCGGTGAGGTTTTCTCACACAATTGAATCTGAAGCACCCCGCGTATTGGAAACGATACTGCACGAAAAGGACGAAAATCCGATCAATTATTTGAAAATTTGGCGATTTCTATGAGGGCTAGAACAACGTGATGTACCAGCGATAACTTTTTTACTCGATACACTCGCTATCAACAACTGCGTTAGCCCGTGCCTGCTAACCGCTTGTTTCGGTATGCGTTGTTAGCCACATTTGCGCCTTGTTGGGTTAAATTCCGGTACGGCCAATAGTTGATTTTAAGCGCAATTTATGGTAAGATTAAGTCGCCTACGTGTTCACCGACTCCACTGGACATGGTGCGGCCTAAATGTTCGCGCATGCGGTTCAGTGGTCACTACTATCGACCTTTCTATCTTGTAATCGTAGTTTTTACTTGATGAATCATATCATTTACCCCAATGTTGACTATTGCCGTTAGCGTGGCATTTTCTTTTGTATCAACTGGCTTCATCATGCTTTGTTGTCCGGACTGACTTCAATGTAATCTTCAGGTTTTCCATCTACAGGTTGTTCTCCCCACCTTCATATTGCAAAAGCGATCCCTATTGGAAATGTTCGCCGATCACTTGGCGCACCCGGATTTATTCATTAAGTAAGTAAGTAAGACAGGACATCCTGCACTTCACTTGTGTTCAGAGCCCCGTATATTTTTTATTTGTGGTCTTATTCCCAAATCCCCATTGGAATCATCAACATACACGTTAATCAAGGTCTCAGTTATTGTGCTTGAACGCAGTGCAAGTGCATTCTCGTAAAAGACATGAATGCAAAAATTTAAACAGAACAAACGATATATTCTTGTTTTTTTAATTATTTATCATCAGTAAGATCGTGACTGGCTGGAGTTGACAAAGCAACGACTGCCATTGAGTTTGGCTGTTCACAATGTCAGTAGATGTGTCCAGCCAAAAGCGTCCGTCCTCTTCCAGACCCCAAGGCAGCCAAGTTCATTGCCAGAGTCTTCATTTCTCTTGATCAAGTCATTAGTTGTCCTGTCCTCTTCCACAATCCAGACCCCGGTCACGTAAACAAAACATGACGCGAGAGTCGGTGTACTGGTATGTGCAACACGTGGTGCATCTGTCGGAGCCTGGTACGTGGAATAACGGTGCTGAGCGCTTCACTCACTTTTCTCAGCAAATTTAAAGCGCCGAGCATGCTCATTGCTCATGCGGTGGTCCCACCGGACGTGAGTAAAACTTCGTAGGCACCGGTTGTCATAGTCAACTAGCCTTTTTATATATGTCGCTCTGGTAGTTTAGGTTTCACAATCATACAAAAGAGTTGTACGGATGGCTGCATTGTAGATTCTGCCCTTCAGGGCGAGGGTGATGTCATACCAACGCTGAAAGTGGTGCAGTTGAGCAAAAGCTCCTCGAGCTTCCTTTATGCGGTTTGTCGCTTCAACCACTATTTCTCATGAGCTGATACAACTTACAATGTACTTGAATTTCTGGGTGACCTCTTGTTGATCCCTACCAAACGTTAGCGGTCACCACCAAAGTTATAGGACAACTTTGCATTTCTTGGATGCACAGCACAGCGAAAAGCGGCTGACAGCCATTGCTGATTTGTGCAGCCCTGCTTGGATGGTTTTTAGCTGGCGCAGATCAGGGAAGTGTCGTCGGTGTACTCCAAGTCAAAATATCGGTCAGCTGGGAATAGCTCCACACCTTGTAGCTAGTGTCGCGTGAACGCAGTTTTCATTAATTCATCAACAGCGGAAGTGGAAATATTGAAGTCCGGTGACAGTTTGCAATACTCCGTCACTGTGCTCTTTTACTATTTACATAGTCATCGGTTACCTATTTCCTAACCAGCCATTCACAAATTCCCCGTCAAACCACAGAATCTAGGGTACCTATGCTACCGATGAGCAAGACTGCGGTGGGTCACTGATGTAGACGCCGTTGCTTCGACAGTAGGAGCAGTGTGAAGTTGTGAACAGGGCAACATCCATTTCAATGTAATATGGCCTGCTGTTCTAGATTCTGACCTATACATAACTAGGTAGCCTCCATATAATGACAAAAGCAAGCAAATCAGGGTTGATGGAAAACTTATGGACCTCTCTATGATTACCGCATTCCGAATGTGGATCTCGCTTGAGAATCTGAGCTGTAACGGCACAGCTCCAGTCGATGGGGCTGGTTCCATGCTCCCACGGCTTCATTCTTATATCGTGCAAATGGTTTGGTAGGCTCGTCGCTTGGTGAGGGGGCTACCCTGTACTCTGCACGGCAGTAACGTGTAAGTCAGTGGATAGTGAGCGGCGCTATATCACATCTAGTAACTTATTCACGATGGTCGTTGCCGTCCCCCGTAGCTCAGTGGTCTCAACCACGGACTGGCAACAGTCGAGCTGCGGTTTCGAGCCCTACCAAGGGTCCGATGGAATGCGCACTGCTGACGATTCCCGAAAGGATGAAACGCGCGTACAGTGCTTTTCCGGACGTGTGACGGCTGTCTGAGTGAGTCTAGATGTGACGAATTTCTACCTATACCATTCAACTCCCCCTACTACTCCTCTGAAATAAATACATCTTTTATTTCTTGACGATGCGTGAGACTATTCCTACATAGGGAAAGATCAAAACATTTACAGATTTTTTCATTTAGTCCACTCTACATATTAGATAGGAATATGCATTATGTCTTATCCATGTAAGTTTCATACATGCATGTTGTTCAGGGTGAAGTGCAGAAGATTGTGCTGGGGTTATATCTTCCGTTAACGGATGTCCCGTCGATCTGAACCAGCACAGTCTGACCAGAAGGCGGAAATGGGACTTTCGTGGATGAACCATACTTTCAAACTCCCGCTGACACGCAATCCAACTTCATCGATCGATTAAAACACGTTCAGAAATCCCAGTTCGTAGTGGACTCAGGGAGGAAATAAAATAAACAATAGTATCAAGGTAGGTAAGAAACGGCTATAACATGATTACCAGTAAAAATAAATAAAGCGTAAATATCTGGCAAAGAATAATCCAAAATATAGACATCAGTTTGCAAGGAATACATAAAATTTGGCAAGCTTACTTCTGATTTCCCCAGTAGTTGTTTTGAGACTTCTAAAAATGCGGGCTCATGCCGAAAGCCTTACCCTGTGAGAAAATACTTCAGAATGAAACGAAGATTCTAATAGCAACAGACTCTGGCGCTAAGTACAATGAGAGCGAAAGGTGCATCGTTTGGTAGATGACAACATTTCAGTGCGACGCAGCTATAATAGGAAAAGCGACCTAGATGATGGCAACATAATTTCTAAATTGTCAAACGAAGTCTAAAAAGTGTGATGTAGCACAATAATATATGTAGTCATGAGTTGTAGTAGAAATCTTTATGGACCCTATACTCTGGATTATTACACATACAGTAAGGCTTGTGTGCACCACCAGCCATTACCTCTGTGGTTATTCTGTACTATGTTAGCGTTTATTACGCCAGGGTAAAGTACGAATAATAGTATAAGCTTGGAAGAGCAAGTCTGTGAAAAAGTAGGAACTGGGTGTCCACCCATCACTGAGCCTGAGATTTAACAGGCGCATGGTGGGAAATGGAGCCAGCTAAAAGAGAATTTCATGATTTCCAAGGTAGAGTGTAGTGGCGGTCGAAAATCCTGGAAGTCCGGCTTTTCGAGATGACAAGGGCCACTCTGACACACAGTTAACTTTCGGGCTAGTTTGAATGAGTATGAAATATTGTAGAGCAAGATGATAATAATGTACGGAAAAGGATCTGGCTTCTCATTCTATCGATCTGACTGTGTTGACATTAGCAGATGACAAGCGTTCAAGTCCAATAAAAGTTAAGAAATGGTGAGGGCCAAGATGAGGTGAAGTGGAGTGACAAAAACCTGGGTCACCTCTGTTGTTTCATCAGAGGAATAGTTAACCAACTATCTGGAATATTATGATATGGAGTACAGAGGTGAACTTTTTTCAAACCAAGACAAGGCAAAAAGGAAATCAGATGATCAGTAACCAGTGCAGGACGGTTAGGAGAGCCAGTGAAACGAAGTGAACCGAAACCTTCTAACGCTAGGCAACCCGGTAGCCCAAGTGTGGCAAATAAAACATTGAACATAGAAAGACGTAAATAAGGAGGACAGATAAGCAGGGTCAGAAGTTAATGTACAAGGTGAGATCTAAGCCGAGCAGCATTTTGAATGCGGTAGATGTGAGGCTCGACCTTTAAAGTTCTATGGGGTCCTTCATAAATATCGTCTAGAGATGTAGATTCGCCCAGTATACGTAATACCTCCTCTACGGTGAGGTGGTTGAATACTTGAGCTCGAAATATATGCTTAGTGTTGTTGCATCTAATGAGTTCAGGCAGCTTATTCCACAACGTTGGATACCTTATGAGAAAGAATTTGGCACGCAACCTTGTACGCACTCTAAGGACGCAAAAGCTGGATAAGGTATTTTTAGTTGAATATTGATGGGAAGTGCCAAACTGGACAGTACTTGGCTCCCCAGAACTGGTATGCGCTATATCAAATAGGAAGATAAGATTTCATTCTTCTCAACCATGATGGTTCTAGCTTCTGCAGTTTACACCGTTGTTGATAAGTCAAGTATCCAAACCCTAGTAACCGTTTGGTAAAGGAACGTTGTACTTTTTCAAGATTGATTTTGTCGTACATTTTTAAATTTGTGAATACGAATGAGCAATATTCTAAGACTGGACGCACGTATGCTTTATACAAAGATATCCTAGAATGTTTCAAGCGTAACGTATTGAAAATACGTGCTATGATAAATCTCGCTTTGGTGGTGACATAATGTACCTGTTCGGAGAAATTAAAAGATCCTTAGTAGCGAAATCCGAGGTCACGATTCGTTGTGCGGCAGCAGGTAATTGGTTTGTCATCTAACGTCAGTATGTCATTAATAAGGTTACATCTGAAGAATAGGGCTTTACATTTGCCAACAGAGAATGTCATTTTCTACTCTCGGCACCACCGCTGAAGAGCGAAGAGCTCCATCTGTATTGTTTGAGCACCGTTTGGTTCATTTATGCTATCAAAAGCGAACACAACTTTGATATCATCCGCGAAAAGAAAGGGTCTGCCATGTCGAAAGATTCGGAAAATGTCATTTATGTATAATAGGAATAGCAATGGGCCTAAAACGCTTCCCTGTATGACGCCGCTGGTTACTGGTATAGGTGAAGATACGCAGTTTCCTACTCTGACACATTGGGTACGTTTAGACAAAATAGATGACAGCTATGCTAGTAATGCGTTAGCAAACCCATAAGAGGTTAACTTTGTTAGAAGTTCTGCATGTGGTACGCGGTCGAATGCTTTTTCCATGTCTAAGTAGAGAATAACCAACGACTGCCCCGAGTCAGCCGACTTGGTTACGTAGTCCAGAAATGCACATTGGCAAGCTTGACATGAACGACCACGGATGAATCCATGTTGTGATTCGTCGATCAGGTTTTGTGAATTAAGTAACTCCATGACTTTCTTTGATTATTCTTTCCATAATACGAGTCAATATGGAACTATGGCTAATGGGGCGGTAATTTGGTAGTTCGTGACGTGATCCCCTTTGTGTCGCGATAGGACAGTGGCCC